CAGGAATGCTTTGTTCCTCTTTGCCATGTAACACACACTTTCAGAGTGACTACAACAATGTGATGAAATGACAATAGTACTTCCAGCCCTGCAACCACATGGGCTTTTGACCCCTGGACAGGAGAGCAGGCCAGTTGCCCTGTCTGCTCTTTTTCCTTCCTGTTTTTGAAATAACAATGAGGATGCCAGGGAGTTTTTGGTTTTACCAAATCAATATTTCCTTATTTCCATCCTACAAAAATAATCCCAAACCAAGTGAAAAATTACTTAGATTTTGTGCAAGGAGAATATCTGAAATGTGTCTAAGGAAACACAGAATGGAAGCAAACAAGGTGGAGGCATTGGGACAAATGAAGACTGTGATGTCTATGAATTCTACTTAGTTAAAGTGAAAGTAATGCAGCTGAACTTAAGCTCCTTACTTGACTGGAGTCCTTTTTTGCTATGTGTCAAATTAATTTCAAAGTATTGCATTAATAATAATATTAACCTCAAAGTTAGAGTATATGTTTAGGAATAAAAGAAGACAGAAAGTTATGTTAAGTAATACTTAAAATGTATACCCTTATCTGTATGTACATTTCAGTATGTTAATTGAATAATTATTGTGCTCATCAAATTTAATTGATTGGAATAAGTTGTTTAGAAGTTGTGTAGAAAAACTATACTTTTTAAATTATTAACTTTTTAGAAGAGACCAATTAACTTAATAATCAGCCAATAAGTAAATGAAAATTAGATTAGTTTCTCATTTAGATGAGATATTAAAATGAATTATATATTCAAATTAGTTATTGGAACTAAGTAAGTTACATCCTGGGATCAGAAAAGGCAATGCAACTTCATATAATGAGAAGTTGGTGTTGATGCTGAGGTAAAGCAAGAAGACTAGATTAACTGAATCAGCTGTATTAACATTAAATAAGCTAGGAAGAATGTTCTCTTGTCTTTAAATATAAAACTTGTGTTTGAGAGAGAATTTTTTTAATGACCTGGGAAAGGCTGCAACTTCAGTAAGGGTACTGGCATTTGATCTCATTGCCAGTTGAACATTTCAAGTATTATAAAAGGATAAGTCATATGTGCTAAAAAGTGTGAGTTGCAACTGTTTCCTCTCAACTCACAGGGCAAACTGGAAAAAAAAATAGTTTTGCAGTTAGTGGTATTTAAATCAGAAAACTTTACCCACTGTACCACCAACTATGAGTTTTGAAGTTGAGTTAAGAAGAATATTGCCCCTTTAAAAAACATCACTCCACAATTATGTGGTGTGAGCTTTAGTTAATAACTCTTTTGTGAACAAAAAAAACAAGTGACCAGAACTGACTAAGGAATTCAATTTCTGCAGTGTGTTCTGGAAAAGTGGAAGGGTCTTTAGCTGGTGTATTATGAATGCAAAACTTCAGCTGTTGAGAACTGGGTTATCAATAATTTCATTGTTAACACAAGGGGATAAGTCTCACTGAGTAATTGTGGAGACTTGCAGATTCTGTGACCCTCTTTGCTGTATAACCAGGATTAGCTATCCAGAATGATCCTTGCTGGGAGGTAGATGAACTGGCAAGAACTGGGCAACTTTATGGCACCTGCGTTGCTTTAGAGTATTTCAGTCATTTTAATTGACTTTATTTTCCACTTGCTTTGCCCCATAATTTCTAGAGCTGCTGCTAATCTTTCTAGCACATTTCTAGAGGAAAAAAAAAAGGCAACTGTATAATACATTATAAGTAAGAGGCTGAGTAAGTTGACAGATTTGTACTCTAGGAGTGCCAGCGTTTTCCCTTACAAAGCGAGTCAGATTTAATTGTGCTTTTTGCCTCTTTCTCCATCAAACTTTGATCCCAGTTTTGATGCAGGGCTTGATGAATGATGGCAATAAAGGACTGAATAAAGAACTTGATTAGGCAGCAAATTCAGACAATGACTTTCATGAAAGACCAGAAGAAGAAATAATGCCATGCAGTCCAGTGCTCACTGTTAGCTGGAAAAGAACTACCCATTTTCTTGCTTGTGGTGGAAGCTAATGTTTGCTGTTACATGCATCTGTTTGAAGGTGTTATTTCTTCTATGCCTTTGACACTAATTTTGTAGAACTATAAACAATTAGACGTTTTTTGAAGTGAATATGATCTTTTCACCTTACTATTTTTGGAAGATTTCTCTAAGTTCAACAAGCTTATCATTTAGAAACATTCATATGAAAGAGAAACTGGGGCAGAGTGAGGAAGGAGGAAATAAAATAGCATTTGTGGCCATATATTGATACATAAAGAGCATAATGTATATAAAAATGTTTTTATTTGTAAGGAAACAAGCCAATTGAAATAGCTTTTATGACATTATCACAATCCTTTCAAAACACTGTGCAGATCAGCAAATGAAATCAAAACTTACTGCTCATTTAGTAGTCAAACTACCTTGCAAGACAAATAAATGGTCAGTGTTCCATGACACTTTACAGCATTAAAAAAAAGAAAGTAAGTACAAATAAAGTGAAGTCTTGTGAAGGATTATTCTTCACAAGTGTTTTAAGTCATACTGTTCTGTTGGTTTGTACATGTTTTGTGGCACTCTGTTTTCAGGATCTAAAGCTTTTGACAGCTTACTCTGTGACATTGTAGTAAAATCAGTAATTAGACATTTTTATACAAAAGTTCAAGCAAATTATGTGATTAATTTTAATTTTCATCTACTGCAGCTCAGTGAAGGTAGATTCTTTCAAGGCAGATGTATTCAGTAGGATATTTCTGAAATATAAAATGATTAGAAGATACATTTCATTATGTTGGCTTATAGAAGCTCACAGAGAAATCTGTGACAATGGAGAAGTATTAAGAAAAAAGATTGCAAGTTATGCTGAAACATTTCTGATCCTTTCCTTTTCCTTGTTCTAGTCTGATGATATGAATTGTTTGAGACCATATGGAGTGTCTTCATATTTATATTCATTTTAGGATGAATTCATCATTATTCAGGCCACCCTAGTCTTTCCTGTGAAAGTTTTTGCTGCTGCCTCTTGTAGCTGTCTAGTAGATAACACCAGTAGAAAGATCATGGTTCCTCAAAGAGTAATGATAAAGATTTAGGCTACAGAGGCATGGGCACATGTAAGTCTTTCTGTTTTGATAGTCAAGACCTGTGATTTGTCACATAACAAAGCTTTTCTTTCAGGGGGACAAGGTGCTTCAGGAACACCACTGATAGTGAATACATTGGGGGAGAAATCTTTCTGTATTCTGCTAATTAAAATTAGGAGTTAGATTTGGAAGGTAATTTGCATTTAAATGAAAATTTTTAAGTGGATTAAAAATTTTCAATACATATCTTTCTCTTAAATTTGAATATCCTGTGTACTGTAGTCTGTTGCTAAGTAGGAGGAAATACTACTGATCACCTGTGCAAAATATGAAAGACATGGACATATTTTGGTAGCTAAGCTAATGAAATTGCTCTTGGAGATATAAAATAATGAATCAGTATTGTAGATACTTTTTGATATGTCTGTCACTTATCATGTTACAGTGCTGTGATTCATAACCTCACATCTTTTTTTTATCAGATCAGGAAGGAATTAGTCCTATACTACCTTCTGCAAAATGTCTGAAACCTAAAGGTGATAGTAGCGTGGGCAGTATTGCAAATTTTAAAAGGACAAAAAGACAAGAGGTTTAAAAGCAGGCAGTTACTGCCTACAAAGTATGATGTTGTGTTTTCAGACCTGAAAGAGTACACCAGAAGTATGTCCTTACTTTAGTATGTTTAGGTATTATTTCTTTTGATATAAAGATTATTGTTATGAATTTCTGCCAAAACTACTTTATCCACCTTCTGAATCTGATTATTCTTTGGGATACATAGATTGAGGCTTTTTGATGGTGTGAACTTGAAAAGTCTTAGGATCAAATATTATATAGCATAGTGTATCTTTAAAATACCTTTGAGTTTATTTGGTGACTATCAGAACTAGTAGGATTCATACTATTTATTTTATAAATTGCTATAAATGTAGATAATAACAACAAAAACCAGTTTGGCTTTCATTTTAATTAAAAACTGCAAAAATAAACACAATATCAATGTAATCTGTAAATATTGCAGTTAACATCCTGCATCAGTACACTGGCAGAAAAAATTTCATGGACAATAGTACTAGTGAGACACGGCTTTACGTAAGTATCTGACTAGTAAAGCTTTATCTCACTTAGATTTTCCCATGTCCTTAGGAATTTGTGTGTCTCCCCTATTGCTTTCCCAGTGACCAAGAGCAAGATGAGCGCTATGCATCAGCTCAGTTAAGAGTCTAAAAATGGAAAGTATAATTCTTTAGCTTAATCAGACTGAAGTGTTTGTGTTTGTGCTGGCATCAGCACACACTTGAGAGATTGTTGTACCATTTCTGAAGGAATAAACCTATGAAACTCAGTTTTAGGAAATTGGTAAGTATCAGAGCTCAAGTGGAGATGTGACAAAATGTTTGCCATGTGTATCTTCAGTTCTTGTTAACTAGTGGTACTGGCTTACATTTACTTTACTGGGAGGAAAAGTTTTGGCAGTGTGCATTTATTGCCAGTAAGTTTGGAATTCACAAGTTAAATGGTTACTGGTAACATAAAGCACACTTTTATTTTCGGTATGTTACTTCACTGAATTTTTTCATGCAAAGTGTTTGGGGGGAAAAACACCTGTGGGCAGGTATGGATTCCTGGAAATAAAAGACTGGCGATGAAAACATACAGAAACTGTAGTCTTGCTGACTGTACAGTAATGTTTTGTTAATATAAGTCATCTTGCATAAATCAGCTTTTATTTTTATATTCTGATTTAATATTTCTTATTTTGTAGATGAGTTCAGTGAAAATGTTGCGGTCACGTCTCAATGGGATCCTTTTCAGGCTTACGTTTGAAGAGCATGTGAACAATATCAAACCTGACATTATGGCAGTTACACTGGCTTGTGAAGAGCTGAAGAAGAGTGAAAGCTTTAGTAAGCTCTTAGAGTTAGTGCTGTTCCTTGGAAACTACATGAACTCTGGCTCCCGAAACGCACAATCTCTTGGTTTTAACATCAGTTTTCTTTGCAAGGTAAGATGAATCTGTAACACTTGTGAGTGTAAATTCATGAAACTCATGACGTGTGAGAAAGTACCCTAAACAGCGAAAAACATTTAATTGATGTAGTTTACTGACTGCACCTTCCTTTTTAGTAATTGATAGACAAATACAGAGTAAACATTTCTATGATGGTCCCATGCTATAGTTGTCTTTCTCAGTGCAATTGTGATTTAAGGCAGTTCTTTAATTGTAAATCTGCTCCAAGTCTTTCTGGAGTATATAAGCAGAACAGCTTTTTCAATCTGAGTTTATTCAACTGTCATCTTGTCAATAGAGTGTACATCAAGCTATGAGTCTGTTAAGCAGTTCTAGCTACTTCCCTTTCTTCCCATCTCCTTCCCAGCTATCCTTCAAGCAGGGCCACCAAAATAAGTATTTTTAGATTAAAGATGGACTTTGCTTGTCCTAGGTTTAACTTCAATTTTGGTGGTAAAATATGGGATGTAATGAGAACTTTAGAATCTAGCAGTCAGAATTTAATGTGCAGTGCTTGTTTGTTTATATGTTAAAACGTGTGTTCGTTGATCTGAACTTAGCCATTTTGATTTATGAAGTATCTTTAAAGTGTCTTTGAAATACAGGGATGCAACATTATAAAAACAGGTCGGAAAACAGCATAACTCTTGCAGTGGAATTTTTTTAGGGTTTTTGGTTTTTTTTGTCTAATCAGAAGTTCCAGGTTTCTAGTTCTTTTTTTGGGTGCCATGAGGAAACCCAATGTGTATACCTAAAGGAGATTTAACCTTGGTGGGAAATAGTATTTCAAATACACAGCAAGTCTGATCTGACATTTCAGCAGAGAAAGACTGCGCTTGCTTTAGTTTAATGCAAAGATGTTGGTAACTTCTGATAAAATGAAAACAATCACCTGAGAAATACTTTCATTCTTCAATATCTTTTTTTCAAAAAGAAGCCAGGTAGAAGGATCTTTTTCATAAATCTAATGCTGTGTTTTCAGTAGTAGTGGATTCTAAAGGGAAATGAGTGTTTCAAGTAGCAAATGACTCGGTAATGAGGGGGAGGGGAAATGATGACTGTGCGTGAATGGGACTCTAGCATGGCATAGACATGAGAAGGTGACAGATCTATGAATTGCTGTTCATGCAAATCCCACAGATGTTGACACAGCTAATCTAAGTTGACTAGTCCTGTAAATTGTTCTCTAATGAACTGAATAATTGCTGAAGCATGGCTATATGTGCTTACAGCTAAATTCCATTTAAAATAACTGAGGCAAAAATCTATGACTACTAAAATCAACTCTGCCCTCAGAGACAAAATCTATTTAACTTGGTTTTTTCGTTTTCAGGATAGATATTTCTGAGGGAAGTATTCTAGTGGTGGTCTCTCTCCTGCTCCCAGCCATGAGATTGACACAAATACTTTAACATTCTCCCTAATGAAAAGTTGACTCTGATGTAGCATTTAGGTACTAGGTATGTTTTGTTATAAAGTGATGCCTAAAATAAAATAATCACAAAGACTGTGATGATGGTTGAAGCAAAAAAAAAGGATCTCCCCAAAATCTGGACGTGAAATTGTTTCATTAATAGCTCTACAAACTTATAACAGTAACTTAAATGGAAATGTAGAAAAGTTTCTCCAGACAGTGACATGTGCCTTGTCTTCAATTTAAATTTATCAAACCAGGGGATATGATTTTATCATATGATAGGATCAGTGTTTTTAAGTTTTTAGTTTGTGGGTTGTCTGGGGTTTTTTTGTTACACCAGTGACTTGCACTGTCTTTAACATCAGTGGAGCTCTTAATTTTTGTTTTTGAGCCAGCTGTCAGCAATGTAGAACACATACATGCCTGTGTACACACTTCTGTGTGCAGAATACACATGGGAAGCAGAGTTATTTAATGATGAGGTATCCTGATGTGATGAATTAACTTTTCACTAAAACCTGATTTTCATATTGATTTTGTTGTCATCCTTGAACAGTCTTAAAATTAATTGACCATATAGTAGATGTAGGACTTAAATTATATAATCTTAAAAAAAAAAAAGAAAAATGAAAGGCATTGATCTGGAATAAATTTTTGTTTTTGTAAAATAAATGTTCTTAAAACAGCTGGTCACTTGGTACACAGAAAGCTGTTACTGTGTAGTAGCTTTTATTAAAACATGGTAAAGAAAACTCAAACCTATCTGGTCACAGCTGAAAAGCTAGTCCCCATAATTGCAAATCCGTAGTAATGGATGATCGTTCTGTATGTTACACTGCAGTGTGTGTTGTTACTGAAGAAATAATTGATTTGTAAAAAAAACCTTTGGCAGAAGACAGAGAACTTAATTTTGTTCAAATAAGACAGATCAACATTAGAATTCATGTGCTTTATTAAAACTAGCAAGCAGGAGCAGCTACTCTGATGTATTCGTGGTTGCCTGTGTTGAATGCTCTGTGAAAACAGAAATACGGCAGAATGAGTCGTGAAGTTCGGAGAGGCTGCTGTAGTAGTTCGCTAAAAGTAAGGCTCTTTACCAGTTGTTGCATTCAATTTATGTGTCCAAACGATCCAACTGGTATGATGAACCCCTATTGCAGCAGTTACTATCTCTTATCAAGAACAGGAAAACCCTCATAGTTCTATAAGGTTATGCTATACGGAAATTTAATTGAAAGAGATTTGCTTTAGCAACTTCTGTTCTTTTTGTGGTGAACTAATGAAAAGCCTAACAGCAAGCATCCCTCTGTTTTAAGAAAGCTTTTATAGTATTCTAGCTGGATCAGTGTGTATTTAATGTAATAAGTAATATTACATTACTTCTTGTTCGTAGTGCAAATACTACAGGATGAGCTGTTTATCTTGAGTGTTACTGACTAGTGTACGTTTACTGTCTACCAGCCCCTTCTGTTAAGGTGGAAAAGATTTCTAGGATATGAACAGTTGCATAGTATTATAAAAAGCTTTTTAAATAGCTATTATAATCAAATGTTACTCTAGTGGTAGTTAAAATACACATTTTTTTCCTTACATTAGCTGTCACTTTTAACCCTCACACTTGGAAACTTAATCCAAAAGTACATGTTAAAAAAAAACCAAACAACAAAACACAAACAAAGACCAACAAAGCCAAACCAACAACCCAAATGAACAAAATCTGGAAGTGGGTTATGGTATGATTTGCATGTTCTAAACGCTTTACCAAGCTACTACGTGTAAAGGATATTTCGTTATATTAATGTTATTTCTAAGCTACAGACCTAAGCGTTGTACTCTGTGTATTACTTGATTTGAATGGGTGTGCTCAGAGTATTATGTTCTGTGTATGCTAGTCTTTAATCCTTTCCAAGCAATGAATCTGATAGTATCAGCCACTCAAATTTATGCTTCAGCGTTCAGCTGGAAGCTGCTTTCTGAAGCCTACACTCATCTACTGATTTTTATTTTTTTTTTCACTAAATGAGTTATTTCCAAATTCCTTCTCTCAGATAAAGAAAGGCCATAGAATCAAAACCTCAGAGTTTTAATGCCACAGTGTTAGTGTCATCTTTATAAATCAATGTGGAAAACCTTGTCAGTAACATTTATTGTTAATGTTTTGCAAATGCCACATACACAGCCACTGCTCTGTACAAGCTTGTATGTTCCAGTGTGTTAACACTACTAAGGATGTGGAGGTAGAGCAATTGTGTAGTTTAATTGGTGAATTGTTACTGTTGGTGAGGTTTGCTGGCTTACCAAGTCTCGGGGAACTACTATGATTTATTTTAAAATGGTAATGCTTTGAGAATTAAAAGGGTGAAAATACAGAGAGCATCATATAAAAACATTTGAAAGCCAGAGATTTCTAGGTTTCATAAACTTGTGTTCTAGTATATACATTTATTAGGCAGGAAGCAAAATTCTTTTTTTGACATGCTTTCTTTGGTTTTGTTTTTTGTTTAATATACCTAGGTCAATAGCAAAGAAATTCTGGTGTAACCCTTTGTACAGTCCACCTTTTCCTTTACAAAGCAGGTATCTCTTGCACTGGCCTATGCCTGTACGTAACTACAGTCATGAGGTTGGAGCTCTTAGGACCGTGAAATGGATGTCGTTCTACCTTTTTTTGCTTCTCTGCAAGCCCATAATATCACTTGAAGTTTAAAACCCATAGAGTATTTGAACATTGAAATACATATTTCTGATTCAGAAATCTCAGCTGCAATTATCGTCTGTGACAGTAACAAGGGAAAGTACATGGAACAAAAAGAGGGGAACAAGTATTGATTTTTTTCCCCCATCTTTTGTTTTTAATTTGCCAACCCAAATATGACATCTCTTTAGTTGAACAGACATTGACTAAATGTCAGCTGCCTGAGGTTTTATCAATAGTAGGCTTTTTTTATCAGAAACCAGATACTTAGTCTTGATTTTCTGTTTAACTTTTTTATGTAACAGAGGCTGTAAGTGCATTTTGTTTGTAAATCTAGCCTCTTAAACTTGCCCTTTTCCAGAGCTCCTGTTTATAAAAGAACAATTTAGCTTTATGCTGAAGGGCAATAATAGTATTGTAAGGTTGATTTTGTACTTAACACAGTGATACTGTGATGTGCTGTGTGCAGAGTCTTGCACTTGGGACAGGCTTTAACTGCTGCAAAGATGTTGTCTTGAGAGTGGGAAGTAACTGCAGAAAACCTGGAGTCTTAGTGGAAAAAGATGAATGCTGGGCAGCAATGAAGGCTGACTGTGTCCTGGGCTTTATTGATAGGGACATAGTCAAGAGATCACAGGTAGTGACATTTTTTGCCTTTAACTCTGAGTTTGCTGGGTTGCGTACGGAGCATGGTGTTCAATATTCTTTAAAAACACCCCACCCTTTTTTGTTAATAAGCTTGAGTAGAGAACCACCAAGCTGGTCAGGGGGCTGTAACACCGAGGAAAGGCTGAGGGAACTGGGCTTCTCTAGTCCAGAGAAACAAAGGGTTGGGGGACCTGTAGCAACCTTACAATACCAAATCGTTTATTGTAAAGGTGGAGCCAAGCTTTTTAGCAAGTGTACAGGAAAAGGATGAGCGATACAGATGGTGTATTGTAACTAGGGACGTTTCAACTGGATATGAGAAAAACAAAATTAACTTTTTGAAAAGATGACTCTAATTCAAAATATGTAGAGTTGTCTTTTTCATAGGTAAAAACTGTTAAATTCTACCCAAGAATGAAAAGAGGAGACAAAAAATTTATCCTGAATACAAATATACTCTGTGAATACAGAGAATGTAAAGACACAGCTATGCTGTTCGAATTCCAGTTCCTATCTTTCATTTCTTTTTTATATTTAAATAATATTTGCTAAACTACACTCAAGAAACACCTATCTTCCTTACCTTAGAACTTGATTTTTAACAGGTTTAGAACTTTTTTAGAATCAATATATGTACTTAAAAAATTAACAGAGCTGTAGCTATTGAAAATATGGGTGAACGTGGGTGAGAGATCTTTCTTGATTGGGCCAAAGAAGTGAATTTGACACAGTTAAGATCTGAATCACTGTTTAGTACAGGTTTTAAATAACCCAGCAGGTGCTAATATTAACTCTTGTTTTGTGATCAGCTATAACCATCATATTAACATGTTTCAGTTGTAATCTGAAGGCAAAATAATTTTGTCCATTTAGGGAAAAAAAAGGCTTTATCTACTTGATGATGTCAGAGAGATCAAAGACTGCAAATCCCACAGTTCTTGTTCACAGACAAATTGAAATGCAATTTCTTTTTACCATGCAGATGTTTAGCCACTAAATCTACGATTTTTTTCAAGTTGGAAAAACTTCTATGTGCGTAACACATTAAAACCTTTTGACTGTGTACCATTACTGAGCATTGTTTAGTCTTTAATCACCGAATCAGTATGAATTAAATTGCATTCTTAATTGCCTTAATACTGTATGTTTTTAAAAGCCTCTTTTTTGAGTGCACTCATTTATTCTTAACAGGGTAATCCTTAAAGCTGAAAGGCCTGTATTAAATTGAACATCGATGGCAAGCCTGTCATGAGGATTATAGAATTAGAACTGCTAGTGATTTAGAGAATGAGAAAACAAATAGGAGATTTCACAAACACATTTCTGTATTCTTCTTAAGTAAATCCTTTATTTCATTTGTTGTGTATGTTGTAGCTTCTGTGTAAGAACTGTATTAGATGAGTTAGTAAAATGCACTTAAAAATCGTTACCGGTACACTTGTAATATTAATTCTCTATAAAAAGTGAAGCATGCTTATCTTAAACTCTTGCATATACCTGTTACCTCTGTTGTCTCTGTCAATAAAAGGTAATCTCTACTTCCACTAAATCTTCAGTCAACTCATATGCTCATTCTTTATGCCTGCATAAAAATGGAGAAACTAAATTTGGAATTAAGTTCATTTTTTCGTTCTCTTAAGTTCATGATGTTCTTTGCATATACACGTGCATTCTGTGGTGTTTGCCCGTATCTATGTGTACTTGGAAATTTGCCACTAGCCCTGTATTTTAACAGTTATTTCAGGCATTTAGGTTAATGAAGAACAGAGGATCTTAACACCTTCAAGAAGACTAGTTTATTTCAGATCACTAAAACGTGCCTCAATTGCTTGCCTTGCAGTTGAAAGGATAGTGAAAATACGCAATTACCTATTTCTTCACGCTGTACACAATTTTCAGACCATTTTTAATAAATAAAAACTGGATGCACTAAATATCCTTTACTGTCAGTTAAGATTACCTTTGCTTTTCTATTGTCATGTTGAATTCCAGTACGGTGGGGTGCATTTATTTCATGTGTCTACATAGAATTTGTCTGAAAGTCTTTTAGGATAAAGCAGTGTGCTTTAGATTTTGCTTCAATGAAAAACTGTGGCTTTTAGACAAAGCTTCCTTAACTTGACTGGTAGATGAGCAAATGACTTTTAGCATGCTCTCTGGCTATGCAGCATTTCAAAGGGGTTCCTTTAGAAATTTGGCAGTGGGGGGCGTTGAAGGAATGAACTAAATTCTGTTCTGTTTAATCTTGTTCACAGGTTTTTTGGGGGGGTTTTATTGTTGGGGTTTTTTTGTTTGTTTTTTTTTGGGGGGAGGATTTGTTGGTTTTTTTTGTTTGGTTTGGGGTCCTTGGTGTGTGAGGGTTTTTTGTTTTGTTTTTGTTGTGGTGGTGGTGGTTTTTTGGCATAGCAAGCGTTCTGAACTGAAGTTGCTGAAATCACAGAACTTTATGGACTGTCTTCAGGTTTTGTTCTCAGCATAACTAATTATTCTTTAAAAAGGGATAGATGCCCTTTATAGTCTTAAATTATAAAGAATTGCAGAAATTTCATTTTTAGAATAGTTTCATTTGCAGGCAACTAGCATAGTTAACTTTTTGGAGTTTACATCTGCGATACTCACTTTATTTAAACATTTTACTCAAACAAAGTGATATTTCTTCATTTTGTTTTCTCCTGTATTCATTTTGTAGATTCGAGATACTAAATCATCAGATCAGAAAACAACCCTATTGCATTTTCTAGCCGAAATCTGTGAGGAGAATTACCGGGACATCTTAAAGTTTCCAGATGAATTGCAGCATGTTGAGAGTGCAAGTAAAGGTGAGCAAGTAAACGCTTGAAGGTAACAGCTGTTTGCTTTGACATGGAATACTTCAAACATTTCATTTTAGATTGTAGGATTGTGTAACCTGTAAGCGTTGATAATCTGCATGGATTTTGCTTTTATTGACCTAAGGAAAAAGTGGGGTGGGGAAGAATAGTAATGAAGTCACTTCTCTTGTAGGTTGTGGAAATAATACAGTATATTTCAGTGAAGTACTTACAAAATCACGTATCAGACATTGTCAATGACGATGTCTAGTTTACCAGTAAGCCTTTCACGTCTTGTTGAGACTTGAGAGTGAACACCTGGGTGTGCACACACACACACACAGAGTATGCTTCTCTTTTTAACACTTGTTTTAACACCTGAATGGAGAATAACAAAGTGCTTTCTAAACTTCCCAGACAGAATATGAAATGTATAGTTTAATTATACTGTGCAGACAATGATTAAGACTGTTTTTATTTTTGGTCAGTCAGTAGTGTAGCCTAGTGAATCTGATATCCAACAAATGAATTAAGTTTTCTGTCTTTTCGCTTGAAATATGTTGTGCTGCTTGGCACACTTGTTGCGTAGCTATCAAAAGTGAATGCTATGTGATAGTGGTTGATGAAGACATCACAAACTCTTTCATTTTGAATGGGCTTTACTGATTGATCAGAAGATAAATACTTGGGGGAGATGAAGAATTTGAAGGGTAAAAGAGGGGAGGAGAAGTTGGATAGACATTTTCTCTAGCTCTATCCAGCTTTTCTCTTGCAAATTTTTATCCATCCCTCCCTTTTTTCAGTGTTATCAGTAATTGTCTCTCTTCAGGGCAATGGTTAATTTTTAGACAAAGTACTTTTTAAAATTAGGCCATCATTTTCTTTCAGTTTGTACTCTCCCATCTTAAACTTCATCTAGTGAGAACAGAGCTCTTGTTTCCCAAAGGGCTTAAGAAATATTTCATCAGTCGCTAACTTTGCTATTGTTTTGTTTCTGACTTATTCACATATTTATGTGATTGTCTTTCATAATTTTTTTTGCTGTTTCTCAAACTTCACAGGTATCTTGCCATGTGGGGTTTTTTTCTGAATATAAACAAAGTTTTATTTATATTCCTTAAATGTCTATGCTTCACTTGCCTTTTTGCTGATGAATATTTCACTGGCATGAATGCCTCTTAGTAAAACGGAACTGATCTGTTTACTGACTTAAGAATGGCATCGTTTTTTAAGCCAGTAAAGAGACTGAAGTGATAACTTACATTACCATCTTGAATGTACCATATTTACATACATAGACAAACACACACACACAAATAAATAAAGGTGCATGCTTAAACAGCGTACAGCTGGCTACTTATATCTGAGCACTACTATGGATATTACACAATTACTATTGATTTTGTTGTTTGCTCTCAGTGTTCTTGGTCTCTGATATGAGATCAGATAACTTCATCAAACTGAAGCCCAGTTCAGCCCCCAACTTCACCCAGTAAGTGTCACTGGTTTGGCCATTGTGTTGACAAGGACCTGCAACATACTACCATAGTGATTAATTTTACTTATGCAAGTAGCAGTTTGTCATCTAAACTGAATTCCAGAAATGTTTTGTACTACTTGATAATTCTTTTCTGGAGGTGTTTTTTTTTTATAGAAAAGTTTAATCTTTTTTTTCCTGCTTCACTTGTTAAATTCATTAGAAAGCCTTATGGTTTACCAGACACATTTGATGTTCTTTTATTAATTTTCTCCTGTGGCTAATGCTTTACTTCACACCTCCGAGATTTTTATAGTTCTATTTGTTAGCCTCTGATTTCCTGTAAGTTTACTTGAAGAATTAAACCAAAAGAGTTAGTTTAGTTCAGCTATAGCATCCAAAAGAGATAAAGCGTATTAATGGGATCAAAGTCACTAATAATTCCGGTGCTTAGAATATATATTAAAAAGGCTTTATTGGGACTAAATTTGTTTCATTCTGTAAGATAAAAGCTCATTATGTTTCCTATAAACAGTGCTGACTTCTTATCAGAAGCATAAATTACTGTTCATTTTTAATGACCAAAACTTCCCTTTCAAGCCTTCTTTGCTTTCTGTACCAAAGCAGATTTTTGGCAGAATAAACATAATTTGTGCAACTTGCTTCAACTTCCCCATGGTGGTTTTTGGTTTTTGTCTAATTGTAAAGTTCATCTGCTCTGTCATGTGTGATCACTTTTTCTGTGTAGGTAGTTAACATGCTTCGTGTGGAAGAGAAGACTGTAATTGTCTGGTGTTTTATCAACCAGTGGTTTCAGGGATGGACAGTTAGGTTTCTTTTTCCTGTAGGAGACTTCTTTTGGAATAAATTTGCAACAGATATGATGGCATTGACATCACTTAATTATACATAAAATAGAAGGAAATCTACTAGCAAACATGATCTCTATGAATTTTTAATAAGGAAATATGAGCAAAACAGGTGACAGTCCGATTTGTTGAGATGGATGTTTGCTACTTTTTGGGCACAAGGCGGCCTTGTGGTTTGAACTATACATGGGATTCCAAATACAAGACTTACAACATTCAGCTTTTTTTTTTGTTTTAAATCTTGGGTGAATTTTCTCAGCTCTGTGTAAATAAAAACAAGGTGTTGTTTTGCTTTAATTTTCATAGAAGAATAAAGAACCAGCAACAAGGCCTTCTTTTTATTTACACAGAGCTGAGAAAATAACAAATGGCAGATAAAGCAATAAAACTGGGTTTTAATATGAAAAGGTCAATGGGATTAGATGAACTGCCCATGCATGTACTGAAATCTTCAATAATCTGATATTAGGTATATTAAAATATTTGATCTTTTTAAAGATGGAAGATCAACCTAGAGGTTTATGAAAAGCAAAAATAAATTAGGAAACAGTTTTATACCGGATAGTATAAGCAAAGGTCAAACTGATTAACTATCAACAGATTATTGGGACAGCATTCCTTCTTGAAGCAGACTGTATGAAAAAAACCAAACAATTAAAAAAAAATCACATAATTGTGACAAACTGGATTCTTTGATGGAAGTGATTTTCACTTACCTTCCCCCATGCTGCAGTGTTTTCCTCTTGTTCCCCTACAGTTGGAACTATGCAAAGCCTTTGCTCGTATTTCCACCTTGTTCACTCTAGTTCTTTTTCTAGTTTCTTCTCTTCATGGTGTTTGCTCTTACCATTTTATAACCTCTGATTTTATTAAATATCTAACAAATTACCATCCCTTTCTGCAGATTCAGTAAGAACTTCAAAACAAAAAGTCAGATAACAAGTTTGAGTTTTCTAGACAGAATTATATTGTAAAAAGTCTAATTTTGAATTTTTAGAAAAGATGCATATTTAACTTGAAACTCCTTGGATTGTCAAGCCTCCCAGAAATCTTAAAAAGAAATTTGTAACACATAAAGTGAAGAGGAAGAACATTGCAAATATGTTTTTATAATAACAAGTTAATTTCAGATTTTAGAAGAGCAACAGTATAAATCATAGTTCATGGTTACATTATTGTGCCTGTATTTAAAATTAAACATAACCATATCTTTATCAGTTGAACATTGGGTCCAGCTCCTCCCAAGTTTAACAGTTCTTGGCATACTTATGTTACCTGCTTGCTTTGACTGCCAAGACTGGGAGTTACTCGGCTGTGTGTACTTGTGTTTTGTGAGCTTGTGTTGTCCCACTGGTGTTTACTTTCAGACACATGTGGCTATAGAAAGATTGTCTGTAGTCGACCATTGGTCATTCTGTTCTATACATTCTCCTGACGTGGTGGACAAGGTGAAGTGAGACCTTATATGTATAGGCAGAGTCTGAGTTTTGGGTTTGGCTGAGCAGTTATGCAAGTCTCCCTAGAACAGCTAAACTCCAAGCAAAGGGCTGACCTTAACTGTGAATGCAGTATAGGTAATAAAGTATCCTTCTTAAATAATGTTTTTTTTTCCAGTGCTTAACATACAGAATTCTGTGCCTGATACAAAAGTATACCATTTAATAATTCTTTTAAGATAATGTTAAAAGAAACATGGAGAATTCTGAGTAAAATAAAATAAGATTTGTGGGGATGTGAGTTATGTCTGTGTTGTAGACTAGAAAGTGCTAATAACAGGAGCACAGATTTCTCACTCATGTTGACACAAAATTTATTCTTTAGTTTGCAATCATATGGTTTTGACGGTTGAGGCATTTCTCTAGAAAGGCTACTAGCAATCAGTAGTACTGTGGAATGCAAATATGTATTTACTTAACATATTATTACAAATGCAGTAAGAAAATATGAAGTTTTTAATTATGTACAGGTACTTCACTGATTTAATGCTGTAGTTTTAGAGTGGGAAAACTAATTTAAAAGTGTTACAATTTCAGACATACTCATAACTAGTCATTTTTCTGTCAAACAAGTTTTATAGTTAGTTGCAGTAGAAGAAACTGTGTTTTTACAAAAAGATCTGCAGTATTTTCCACCTTGCGCAGTTAAATTGCTGAAACAGATTTTGCCCAATCTGGCGCATTAGTGGATATAAAATAGACAATGCCTTCTGGCATGAGGAATTTAATGCCTGCATCTGTGGCTTTTCTTTCCATAATAGAATCTGAAGTTGGCTTTTTTGCATCATGATCAAAAGTTAATCTTGCACTGTATAGTGACTTCTGTCGTTCTTTTCATTCACATAAACTGCAATAATGAAATGTCAGAAACTCTCTTGATGTGTTTTTCTGAATGTAGTAAACGCAGTTAGGTACATCAAATACTAGAAGACTTTTTTCTCTAGTAACACTCCTGTATTTCCATTTGGCATCACCACACTGATGGTAGCTTGTGCATCATCTCATTAAAAGTTTTTTTCGACAGATGTGTTCTTCATTGTCAAACATCAGTGAGGAAGACAGGGAAGCAAAAACTTAACAGATAGCTTTTGTGTTGTTCTAAGGTACAATTTCTGAAAGAGATCCTGTTGGAGGCTCAGTAGGATTCTGGATTGGCTTACAGTCTGC